GGTGTGACAATCATAAATGTACGAGTACTCCACCATCCATCCCAATCACCCATTTCCACATTACATATATTTAGTCTTTTAGTCTATGACTACCAATCGATCCCTCTCACTGTCCTCTTTTGCTGGGAGACATGTGCGTCTCACGGCAGTAAAGAATAGGCGTTCCGCCAAGACGTTCGGCCACGCACATGCGGCGCAGACACGGGCCGTGTAAACGACGGGTTAGTGAAGCCCAGCACTGATGATGGTTGGCAGTCGGTGTTCTAATGCACCAAATCCCTTTCTTTATACACCTAGCTTTGTGCACAGGGCAGTGTCATGCTGACGCAATAAAGAAATTTTCCTAGTGTGTGCACATACAGTGTATGTCATTACAGAAGTTTTTCATAGAAAACTAAAACACGCATGCTGTTCCAGCACACTGTCCAACATGACACATTTGGGGTTTTTGTGTACATGTTTACAGCAATTTTGTGCCACATAACACAATGCTGCTGCATTGTTCCCCCACAGCAGTCAACCATCACACAAACATACACACTGACAGGTACACAGGCTTGTAGGTTTGTTGACATTACTATAGTTTTGCATTCACAGGGCTGATGTGGAGTTTAATTGCAGGTGTATAGCAGTGAGCCACTCGTTGTGTTGTGAAACCCATCGTTTGCACAGGAGTGCATCTGAAATCAGCAAACAGCACATTACAGAGATATTTCCAATCCGTCTAACAGGACTGGCAATTTGAGCTTGCAGGTGCTACTTTGGTTGAGCCGTGTTCTGTGAAGCATAATTTGCCATGTGATTGGCTTCATTGTTGCAGCACTCTCATTTTTCTCCTGGCTGTTTATGCGTCTGTCTGTCCAGCTGAGATGGATGGATGGATGGAGGCATGAATGGATGCTTGGATGTCGTCCTTCCCTGAGGCTAGATAAACAGAGGGACATTCAATATGGAGTGAAAGCATGGACAAGTACTTACTGGTAATGTTAATGAATTTTAGGCACCCGGCTAAAATCCTTGAAACAGGACTACTAAATATTATTGCTCTGTCTCCCTCAGACACGTACGCACATATAGCTCTGTCTCCACTCACCCCCTCCTTTTGTCATCCGGTTCGTGGTGTCTAGTGTGGCACTGCTTGTTTACAGCACAGCGGAGTTAATTAGCCGTTTTATGGCTGATTTACAGCCCAACAGGCAGACAGAGAAGATGGCCGCTGCCTTGTCCTTGTTGCCCACTCAAGGACTTGTCAAAGGGGACATTAAACACACAACACATGCATGAGCACACAGACAAGTGGTCGGTTTGACCAAAATGAACATGTTACTTTGCATTTGTATGTTTGTGTACATGCACAGTGAACACAATACCATATTTAAAGACAAAACACACATACACACACTTGCATATTCACTAGACTCTAAAACTTAACACAGTGCTGAATATTACTCCCACTTTTTATGTCCCGACATAATTCCACTGTCTAGACTGATTTATCAGGGTGCAACACACACACACACACACACACACACACACACACACACACACACAAATGTGACTCAGCTCACCTTGACCAGTTTCTCTAATCTCAATTATACAGGAGCACTGACTTTAGAGAAGAAAGAGCTGAGAGAACACATCATATAACCCAAATTCACACATGTACATAAAAAAAATGTATAAACACAGACTCACACATTCAACAGACAGCATATCGTATCCTAGCTGTAATAACTGTGAAATGGACTGAATTATTGTGAGTTTGTCACTTTCTTCATTTGACTTCAGTACTTTCTGAAAGGGTCAAAAAGCAGTTACAGTGGTGAATTAGAGGCTGAACTCTTCAGACTAAGAAAAGCTTGCTGTGCTTGAAATAACCTTATGCTTGGCTTATTTCTTTGAGATGCAAGGGCATAAGTGGTGTGATCATTGATGTTATTCTGCTGTAAAAGTGGTTGGATGTTCACGTAAACATGGACAGGAGGAGCAATTACGGTCACCATTAACTCTTTTGATGTACCCAGTGAACATTTTTCAGCTGAAAAGACATTTAAAAAACCAGACTATGGGGACGCTACTGATAGCTCACCTGGTAGAGCTGGTGCCCAATATACCAAGGCTGTGTCCTTCCTGCAGCTGCCATACATGGGTTCGAATCTGACCTGTGGCCCTTTGCTGCATGTCATCCCCTCTCTCTCCCCCTTTCCTGTCTATCTTCAGCTGTCCTATCCAATAAAAGGCAAAAACTAAAAATATATATTTTTTAAAAACAAACAGACTTACAGACTATAAGATGTTGTTTAAACATTTTTATGTAGACCATGTTTCCCTGGGATTTGCAGTTGTCACTCTGGAGCCTAAATCCACAAGCAAATTTCTCTGAAATCCAGTATAATACAAAAATTTGAAACAACGCTTAATGCACTCCTTCACTGTATTTTGGATGTTGCCACTTCTTATACTATACATCTATACTATATACTTATACTTCCTAAGATCTTTTTCTATAAAGCACTTTCTGACACTAAAGGCTGAAGATGAACTACTTGTCCCAGTGGATATACCTTCAGAGTAGTCAAAGCTGTTACAAATAAGGATAAGTACTTGCACATGCACGCTACAGCAGTAAGCACAATTTCTTTCTACACTGATATACAGCATTTTTTCCATTGCTGGCAGCACACAGCCTATATAGTTAGATATTTGACATGTTATATAAAATATTTTGGACTTTGGAGAAATCCTTCACAATTTTGAAGGCACTAACAAATATCATTCTGCTGGTTAAAAAAAAAAACAAAAAACAACTTATATGGATGTTTTTTTGTTGTTTGTGAGGTATGAGGCCTAGATGGATTATGCGATGGCAGTCAGTATTTCAATGAGGCTGTTTACCAATCTCTGAAATACCAACTACAAACTGGCCCGTGTGTGTTTCACTACCTTTTTTGTTGACTTTACCCGCCCTAAACCTGAGGATCAATCCTCTTTGTAAATATACACTAACAACACAGCAAGCGCTTGTAAAGGTCTGAAAAGGTGTAAAGGGGATATATTACATCATCTAAAGCTCCCAGTACACAGACACCCTCCCTCTCTCCCACACCTTCTCCCCTGGGCTCTTACAAATCGAAGCTGACATCAGCAGGAGGCTAACAGCGGTGCTAGCAAGCACACACTGTCATCTGAACAACGTTAGCATAGCAGTGACAGCTAACAAGAGAAGACATCACATTAGCCGGCACCGTGGCGTGCTAGCAGAGCAGTTGGCGCCGCCCGGAGTGCCTGACTGCGCTGATGTAGCTACAGGTGTAGTATTCATTCATGCTTAAAGAGTCTGACACTGGCAAGCGAGCAGCCGGCGGCGGGCTAGCACAGCACCTGACAGCTGGTTAATGTCGACGTGTGCAGCGTTTCCTCAGCAACAGGAGAGGACACACACAGGCGCTTCCGTTTGGGTAGGGGTGGCAGAGTGTGGGCGCCATTGACTTTTAGGAGTGGTTTACTTACTCTATTCTTCCTTTTGATAACCTTTCTGTTTTTTTTTTTTTTTGTTGTTGATTGTGTTTCACTTTTTTTTTTTCTTTTTCTGTGTCTTCTAATTTCAAAATGTATTAAGTCCTTACCACTCCGCTTTCTTTGGGCTGTTTTATGTTTTGAGCGTATCTCTGTGTCATGTCATGGTTTAATGGGATAATTGATAGCAGAGAGTGAAGAGAAGCAGGGAGGGGGATTCTAACAAATCATGTTATAGTTGCATCTCCAACTCCCTGACCACTTCTATTCCTCTCTTATAAATTCTTTGCTCTGCCTTACTCACAATGGCTGGATTCTTCCACACGTAAAAGTTAATTTCATGTTATTCATTTTTGTGAAACACCATCTCAAGTTGTAAACAAACTAACGTTTTCTCTCCTGTAAGGGTCACAGTCTGCCGCCCAGATTCTCCATCTGCCTTCCCGGCATTGGTTTCACCTATCAAAGATGTATTGTGTATGCGTGTATGTTTGTGTGTGCGCGCGCACTGCACCAGGCAGATTTTCTGCCGAAACAACAAGCAACATACTGATGATTAGAGCTTGGCACATAATCGGCCAGAAATGAGTTTGTTTTGCGTGAAACAGGTGGCCACCCCCAAGCTAAATGTAGAAACAAACTCCCATTAACATGTCTGTAGTGAAGTGGAAAAAGCTGAGAAACAGGGCTTTTGATGGAAAGAGAAGTGTGTCTTCATAGCAATTCAGGTATAGATATGCATAGGCGCTTCCTATCTCTCTTGATGTTGGTGTGTGCAGGAGTGTTGGTGTGGTGTTCTGTTCCCAACATGTTTCTTCTGTTTTTTTATGTACTGTATATTTGTGTTTTGTGTTTTCAGTCGGGGGGGGGGTTGGACCTCATGCTGATAAAGGCCTCGCCGTCTGCCTTTGTTCATCTGACATTTCCTCATTAATGAAGTTTGCCCGCCCTCCTCCTCCTCCCCTCTGACTCTCTCAGTCCCCCCACCACCTGCCATTCCCCACTCCTCTTCCTTCCTCTTGTGCACCTACCAGCCGTTTTGCTTTGATCTCCCCCCCACCACTTTTCCCATGCCTCCTTCTTTCATCCTTTTCTGTTTTCTACCTCTACTGTCCTGTTCCCTTTCTCTCTTTCTACTTCTTTACTGCTCTCTTACTTTCTTTCTTTACATTTTTTTCCTTTTCCCATTTGTGTCCATCACTGTTCAACCCTCTTTTCTCCTGCCTTTTAACCTTCCCTTCCTCGTTAATCGCACATGGTTATTGGTCACAAAAGCCGGCATGTGTACCATTTGGTTACTGTAAAATCATCTACTGTGTGAAGAAATAGAGCAACTGTTGAGCAAGGCATTTAACCTCCAGTTGATCCCAGTAGAGCTGCTCAGTCAACTGTAGGTGAAGTAAAACAGGATAGTCTTTCAGAAATGTCCCCCAAATAACATGTTAAATAAAATCTTTTCTTTTTTCTGTCTCACTCTATAGCAGCTGATGAGAGAGCGACAGCAGATGGCCAGTCGTCCCTTTGCTTCGGTTGCTGTAGCGCTGGAGGTGGGCGGTGACCAAGAGGAGCTGCTACAGGTCAGCTAAAACACACAAAAATGCATGCAAACAGAAATAAACATAACCCAAAAAGACTCACATAAGCACACAAGGGAAATGATGGTGCTGTGTTGACCAAAAAACACAACACCGTCATTGTGTTCATTTGCATACCCACACAAGGATGAAAACACTGCTCTGGCCCTCTGACCTTATAGCATGACTAGAGTGTGATTGTGTGGGTGTGTGTGGATACACACGAGGATGCTGACACTGTAAACCAACTGGTAATGCAACAAGTTTCCTTTATAGGTTTTAGAATTCAGATTCCTTAGTTGTTTTTTTACTTTGTTGGAGCTGTTCTAGGAATTACCTCTGGTCACCAAACTGCATGTACTAAATGATAAAGGCAGAAGTAGCCCTGCCTAGAAGTACCAGTGTGTAGCATTTAGCGGCATCTATGTATTTAGGTAGTTGCATACTTTAACTAACTGAATACAGCTCGCCTTCCAAGCGTGTTGGAGAAACTATGGCAGCTGCTGAAAAACTAAACAGACCAATCTAGAGCCAGTTTTTTGTTTTGTTTGTTCTGGGCTACCATAGAAACACGGCAGTTCAACATGGTAGACTCCATAGTAGAGGATCTGCTCTCTTATAGATAAATAAAGCTAATTGGAGGTGAATGGAGTTGTGATTTATCAAAATGGCGGAGGTTCATAAAGACAGCTTGACATCATCTGGTTTGGTTGGAACGCACAGAGCCGTCCCACAGTGCAGTGCACAGCCAAGTCAACATCAACCCTTGTCATTTCAGAAAGAATGGTAGCGGCTACACTATTGTTTTCTGATTAGACACTGACAAACACAGAGGGTTGCAGTGGGTACAGACCAGCCACTACAGCTCAGTGTTGTGGAATTATACACACACGCACAAACAAATGCAGAGTCCTCGAGCTGAACTGATAGTACTGAATCATCAGCGTCACCGACCACATCAGAAGCTTTTTGTAGTGGAGCTCCCCTGGTGACTGCTCAGCTCAGCCAAAAAACAATCCTCATGCAATTACTCTGTTACAGATAGGTGGTTGCTGAGCCTTTAACCTTATAAACACCACTTATATAGACCATGTTTTGAACCAGCAACAGACAGAACTTACTTGACTCTGAACTGAAGCCACAAGTGGAGCATTGTGAACAGTGAGTCACTCAGTACTTGTAGATTTGTCATTTAACAGCAATAACTATTTTTTAATAGAACAAAATAGAACAAATCTTTGAAACTGATTTAAATCATTTTTTTTACTCAACTTGTCCGAAGGTAAATACAGTATTGGGTATAAAATACAAGTAGGCTACCCAGCTAACTAGCCATCAACCATGCAACCAAGCTAGTGAGCTAATGGTTGTAGTTTTGAGAGGCTGAGGAGGACAGAGTGCAGCTGGTTTCAATTGCCCACTCAGCAGTCCTGTGTGATAGCACTGGTCTCTCCGTGATTCGCCAACATGCTGGCCGCTTACCTTCACCCACTGGCCCTGAAGGGTCCTCATGAGGCAGTGTGGCTGGTGGAGTATTGGCCCTGAGAGAGGCTGCTGGCCCGGCTGCTCATATCAGCCTCCTGTACAAAGAGATTACAGGGCACATGCTGCAACATGACAGTGGTACTTTCAGGGAAAGGGTAACCACCAAATCAAATGTGCCCTTCTCCTGAGGGGGAGTGGCAGACAGTTGTTCAAACGGTAGTGTCACCTCTGTTGTAAGATGCGTGTTCTCAATGACATACGCATACAGGGTTTAGATAAACAGAGGGTGGGGTGGCATGATGCTCTGTGAATAGTAAGCAGCCCCGTCTCCAGTGTTGGGATAGAAGGATGTGGAGACACTTTGTTAGTGTAGTTAAGGAGGCTTTTTGGTTTGTTTAGTGGGGTCACTCTTACCCCCTTTCTACGAATGCGAACAAGTTCTGGGCTGGGGCTAGTGCCGGACAACATGCTTACCCTAACCCTAACCCTTGCCTTGATGTAACTTGTTTGAGCGTATCAATAATCCTGATAAGAGCAAAGCATTATTGGAAGTGAACTATCACCCCTGAGCCATCTTTGTCATGATATTAAGTAGGGATGGGGCCGATCCGATCCAGTATCGGTATCGGGACCGATACCAGCGTAATTCACGTATCGAAATTTCCCAAACCAAACTGCGCAGATTTTCGATATCCATGAGCCATGTCTGCGCTTTAACGTTGTCTGCTGAAATGACTCCACAGGTGATTCCTGCCGGCCAGTCTGCTAGCTGGCTGCAAACTGTGGAATGGTTTTCCTGAACGGAGGCGCGGCTCAATGAGACACAGAGTTATGAGACACACCCCCGCTCAGGAAATCCATTCCGCAGTTTGCAGCCAGCTAGCAGGATAGCATTGAGCAGCATTGTGGCTAGCCAACATGTCTGCTGTGTGGAAATACTTTACACCAGAAACACTGCAGAGCAAGACAGCAAAATTCAATGTTTGCAAAGCCGTAATTCAGAGACGCGGGAGCGCCCTCGCGTCGTACAACGCTACGAACGCAATCAAACATTTAAAAAAAGCACCACATGAAACAGCACGAGGATTTTTAGGCGAGCTGTCAGGAATCACTTCTGGAGTCATTCCAAAAACAAGGTAAACTCCAGGCAGACAACGTTAAAGCTGTGCGCATGTGTAAGATGTTTACAGTTATTGCCCTTTTCTTATATTTCAGATAATTGACATTTTAAAACCTTGATTTGTTGATACTACAAGAGCCAGTGTACTTGATCTGTGCTGTTCAGATGCACACTGTTTTATTGATAGTGTGTCTGTAAGATGTTTACACTTATTGCACTTTTCTTATATTTCAAGACTCAATTATTTGACATTTTGGGAATTTAATAAATATTGACATGACAATCAATTTGAAACCCTTACAGTTGCATATTTGTTTTCAGAATGGGATTTTTCCTGTTAACAGGATTTCCTGTTTTTCTGACTTCCTTTTCTGACCTTATACTCACCTCAAGTTGCCTTTTGGGACATACATGCATACATACGTACATATCATACTTGCCTGTTGAGAGGAGTTTATTTCAGCCTCATATAAAATCAACAATAATGATAATAATAATATTAAAGCAAACACAGCTCTGGTATCGGAATAGTATCGGTATCGGCCGATATCCAAATTCAGGTATCGGGATCGGATCGGAAGTGAAAAAATGTGGATCGGTGCATCCCTAATATTAAGTTTTCAGATCTTCTGTAAAATATTGTCATGTTTTAAATTCCACCTCCCTTTTGGAGGCTTCATTTCCTCACACAGCTGAAGGTTATAGAGACAATGGTATGGAAGGCTATCTGCACATGATGTTTAATTAGTTTTTAGTTCTGTTTTGACCAGGTTGGACTCAGTTCAGTTCGGCATATGTGCCTGTGGAAACCTCAGGAGTACCTTCCCTTATCTGTGCCTCAGCCTGGTTTCCATTTCATTCTTGAAGGTGAGAGACAATAGGGCAGAACGCTATCTTCACACTGAGGTTAATTACACAACATCTGGTTCATAGTCAAGCATGCAGCTTAGCATAATTGTGTAATGAATGAGGGAAAGGGAACCTTTCCATGCTGCCCCGCTATTTTATGTTGTCCCACTTACACAGAGCAACAGAGTATGGTTAAACAAATAGAGCCATCATCACCCCATTTCATGCCATGTTTAGACAGCGAGCAAGGAACACATCACCTGTTGTTTCCACACTCACAGTGATTTGGTCTGCATGGAAAGTTGTGTGAATTAGATGATGAAGATATAATTGCATGGAGAGAAGTATGGCGTGATTTGATGGAGGATTAATGCGTATTTTCAACTTTCCAGTATCCATATATTCAGTAGTCAATCACATATCTTTTTTTCATATGATTTATTTCCTTATTTTTATCTTTCATTACACACATTACAAGAATTAATTGCTGAAAAGAAACTATAAAAAGCAGACCTTTTAGCTCTTATAACATATACTGTTACATTAAACATGACCCAGTTGCTAACCCACGAGAATATTTTCAATATATGTAATTTTTTTCTATGGCCATGTAATATGCCACGTTAAACTGAACACCGCTGTTAAGCTTGTCAGTTTTCTTTCAGCCCAAGGTTATCCGTAGCTTCACTTGTAATCTACACATCAATTCAACTAGAAGGGACTTGCAATGAGAGCTGGAGCAGATCCTGGTATACACTCTGCAGGAGGGCATCTGAGCTCTGATAAGTTATTGAGTGCTTTGGTGCCTGTGAGACAGGCAACACAGAGAATGTGAGGAAAAACTAGTTTGTGACTAGGAAGAGGCAGAATATAGGCAGAACACATGTAGTGGATAAATCAGATGAAGTGGGCAGTAAGAGGAACACTTAGACCAGAGTCTGGCTGGCTCAGTCTCTTTGTTGGACTTGAGTAAACATTCAGTAACCTTTCACCTTCTAATCAAGATTTGTACATTTCAATTTCAAAAATCCTCTCCTGCGGGAACTATTTAAATCTTTGTACTATTTGTATGTGTTGCTTTTTATGGTACCCAGAAACCTAATGAATTAAATGATGAGAAATTTATGGAGGACTTATATGTCCTTGAAAAAGTGTTACTGATTTACTTTAGCAGTTATTCCTCAAGTATTTATAAGATAAGATATTCCTTTATTTATCCCCCTTAGGAGAAATTCATGTTGACACAGCGGCAATTGGGCAAAGTAGTGCAAAAACAGAGAACAAAGAATATCACAATAAATATATTACTAATATTATTAATATTAGAAGATATAAAACTGTAAATTAAAGTGTATACACTATGCATTGTTCAAGTAGGACATGGAGTGCAAAATATAAGCAGAAAATTAAACTTGACTAAAACTAAACTAAAACTACTAAAGTGGATATCCAATATAAATAGTGCAAAAGGCTTGTGCGTTGTAGGTAGGAGTTTTAAACCAGTCTTAGTCTGCGGGGGTGGGGGGACTGGGTGCTGTGGCGTTGTGGA